GCTGGAATGACGCTATTGGAAGTGTAAAAGATTATATCGTATTTATACTAAATGCAAGCATGGGATTTTAGTGCCCATTATAACGGTATATGCGTTACATGTGTGCTACTAAAACACAGTTAGAACTGAAAGTTGTTGTTTTAGAGCGCAAAGAGATTCACGAGAGAACTACATGTGTAGATATGGGAATCTTAATAATGTTAGGGTGGGGAAAAATTTAAAAATAAAAAAGTTGAAAATAAAATAAAAAAATAAAAAATATAATGTAAAACAAATTTAATTATATATAATATAGCACAAATTAGAAAAAAAAATAAAAATCACAGAAAAGTAATGCAATATTTAAATAAAAAATTTTTATAGGGATTAATTTTTTCCCCAATGGAGCCGATGACTTCCGACACTGGTAGACTGGCGGCACAGGTGACACTCGCTAAGCCGAAGAATTCCGACACTGGTGACACTGACAAAGTGCGAAGAGATACTGCCTACAATCTACTCGTTACATAAACAGTCATTCAAAGCATTTTTAATCTTTTCATTGGTAATTGTTTTTACGTTGCGGCTCCCAGCGCATAACCCATTCCTGGGGTGTTTTTAAATGCTTTTATTATTAAATTAATATGAATACTATAACAAAAATACCATTAAAATTGTCAACTACAATTTGAGAAAAAATTAAAATTTTCTAAAATTGTCGAATTCTAAAAAATATCCTTCTACCAGTTAAAAAAAATTTCAAGAATAAATTTTGTTATTTTTGTTATGATCTATGCTCGCTATGTAACAAAAAAATTAGCTAACAATGATGGACGATAACGAGTTTGGGTGTGCCTCATTGAGTTCGTTCGTTTCGCCACTTTGGCGAATCGATGACGGCTAATGATTCTATTCTCATATTTTAAAATTTATAAAGTTTTAAAAAAGTAAATGCAACATTTTTAAACTCATAATTTGTTTTATATGTATATTTTATATCTGGAAATTTTCGACACATTAACCCCTTCGAGACCAAGGGAAGATTTTATGCCAAATACTCTTTCCGCTCATTGTTTTTGAATTGCCTAGTTCTTAGTCACCTTATTTATCATAAAATTAAAGAAATTAATATTTTTACCAAAACTTGACAATTTTACAAAAATGAGGGAAAACATATATTTATTTATATAGAAACAAGTTATTAGAAAAAACTTTTTAGGGAAAGTGTTTTAAGGAAAAAAAATAGAAAAGGCGTAAAGTTTTAGAAAACCAATTTTATAAGGAACAAATGCGTATATAGAAAAAAAACAATTTTGGGGAAAAATGCTTAACTTTTAGAAAAAAAACCTTTTCTGAAAATATATTTCTTAGAATACTAAACATAAGGACCAAGGTTTTTAGGGAAAAAATATTGGAGTATATAAATCTGTATATGTAATTAGATAGATAGAGTTTTAGAAAAGTAATTTTTTTAAGGAAGAAATGTATTTATAGAAACAAAATTTGGGGGGAAAATGCGTAATTTTCAGAATACAATTATTTTTAGAAAAAAAAACATTTTTTGAAAAAATATTTCTTAGAATACTTAACATAAGGACCAGGGTTTTTTAGAGAAATATATATAATTAGATACGTAAGGAATACTCATATGTTTTTTTAATAGCTTCGAAAAACAGAAGGATGCTCTCAGTTCGCCGTTAAAATATTTTTCTATAGGCTTACAGTGCAGAGAGGGTTACAAAAAAATACTACTACTACTCAATAAATCTAAAACTGCCTGAATTAGTTACAAAAATTACTTTTTAGTTATTTTTGAACGCCGAAAAAATACTTTTCATAGCTGCATGAAAAGTTAATCAGTATTTTCAAAGTTTTCTGAATACTTTCCAGTCGTCTACTAAAAAAAAAAAACGGAACATACACCTGGCATCCAAAAAATCAGCTGACTTGCGGATGGCCTGTTTCCCTTGCAATTTTTCCGCCATGCACACATTAACTACACGCTTACATATGTATATTTTTATATGAGACTGTCTGTATGGCAAGAGTGTGTCGGCCCCGGTATTGCTATCGTTCGTTTTTGGCGCCACCAACAACAACCACAACATCGGACTCTTAATTGTGTGTGTACGAGCATATAAATACATTCACATATTTAACTGCATGCGGGTGTACGTTTTTGAGCTATTTTTGTTGTTGTTATTTTTGGAGAAATGCCATTAAACTATGCTTCCATTGAAACGATGACGTAAATGCGCAACAACAAAAAATGTGCCAGCGAAAACTACAACAAAAAAAGTTGTAAAAAGGTACATGTACCATGTACCAACAGCAAGCAACAGCAACAAATTGGGGAGCACTGCTGAAACACAAAAAAAAAATAAAAAAAATTATAAAAAATGCTTAACTTTACTACATCTACGTACCAGCATTACTGTGCACGTTAGCGCTGAATATTTTCAATTGCGCGTTATGTAGAGAGAGAGCGGTGCTCTCTAGGGTCCATGTAGCTCCAATGTTTCAGAATTTTTTATGCGCTGATGGTGTGCATGCCTTCGTTAACGTTTTCGTTCATATATGACATTTTCGCTGTGTTACCCTTTTTTTACTAAATTGAATTCAATTCGTGTTAGCTAACACATTAAAGTTCAATTCCATTTCCAGTCTTCTGGGTGGCAAGGTCTAGTAATCACACTGCAGTGATTTGGAAGCCGAAATTCGAGGTTGATGGAGTATTCCTCATAGAAGACGTCTTCATTTACTTTTTCATCCAGCTTTGATGTAAGCGACAGATAGACCGGACTAGTTCGACTTTTACTTCCAGGCTGTCCATAGTGTATGATTGTCTGACGGAAGGCGTTATTAGAGACTGAGACTGATCAATAATGAACGCGGAGATTGGAAAAGAAATAATGGGAGACTGGTTGGTTTGAAATGCCATTAGAGTCCTTGCCTGTCCTGAGTAAAAAAAAACCTCTTACGCCCCTTCAAAGCTTTATGACTGACATAGCCCATGCACAAGCAGCTCCCGCGACATATCAGTGCCACAACGCCAATTTTTTTTTCTGCTCAGCAGAAGTGACCCCATCGGTACACGAAGTACACGAAGCATTTAAGAAGTTGACCGAGTTGATTGCCTACCTTGGACGGAGGGCGGTGGTCGCTAAGTAATTTTAAGTCCTCATGTTTGATGCTGACTCTCACTGGTTATGGATTACCCGGAAAGTGAACACAAAGGAGTAATTTGGGGCTCGTTCGTGAGAAAATCCAGACTAACAGGATTCCTAGAAGTCGAGATCTAATCGAATTTTCCTGGCGTATACTAAGCCGTAAGATCAGAGTTCCCTTTGCCCACCAGTACTATTTTAACCTGCCTATGTGAAAGATTAGAGGACACGAGCTCTGAATCCCACTATTACTCGCCAGGATGAGCCCCCCAATCGATTCCTCAGGAAGACTTCTCAGGCAGATTTCGGCCACCAACTCTGTCGGCTGTCTCTGGGACTTTTTCACACAAATGTATTTAGTCTTCAAGAACTCACACAGAAAATCTCCGCATTGTATGTAATACAAATCTCACGACATAACAATTAATGTCAACCGTAGTTGCAGAAGCAGCAGACGATCAAGAAATTACTGATTACAACAATTCGTGTGCCGTGCCAAAGAAATGCATTAGACAGAAACACGAAAGCGTCACACACTCATGCTATTTAATCGCATTTATCATTCCCAACCGCAGGCACTATGTACATTAGGGTGGGCCGAAAATACATGTGAAAATATATTATTTAGAGTTTTTGGTTTAGTTTGGTTGGTTTGTATTTTATATGTAAAAAAAAAACAATTTCGAATTCTTAAAAATAAATAAATATTTTTCGATCAGAAAACTCTGCTTCTCTTCAGGAAACTTAACAATAATAATCAAAATTCAGACTTCATTGTTTTTTTGGACCACCCTAATGTGCATACGTAACTATTACACAGCTTTAGGATTTATGAATGTTGGTCGTTTGCAACAGCAGCCGCGACATTAAAACGTTTTAGGGTAATACACGTATAGCCTTGACGGACAGTCAGCAACACAAACGCACATACACACACACACAAACAATTGAAGAATACCGAACGCAAATAAAAGTGCGAGCATAAAGCATTGATATAGCCATTAACGTTTTTCAGCTGGTCCCTTAATGCTTTTTTGAGTTTTTTATGTTTTTTGATAGCGACTTTACATGGTTTTATGCGCGAGCTAGAAACGATAATCCGCTTGTCTAAGGGTGCGAGGATTTTAGAATGCTTTTTTTTTGTCAAATCTCATGTATCTATTTCTGTTTCTATACCCAGCTTTTTATTCGCAGACAATTTCATTTGTCTCACGGTGTAACTGGCTGCATTGGTGCACCGTTATGCGTTGGCTCAGCGTTGTTCGTTCGCATTGTTGACGTCACACAGAGTGTCCTTTCCTTGCGTTTATGTCCTCGAAAGGGTTTTTTGCGTTCACTTCGCGTGTCGTTTTTTTTCTTGCTGTTAGTTACTCTTATGCTTCCGTTTATTGGTTTGGTTATTTTTGTAATTTAGTTTGCTTGCCATTGATGTTGAGTTTTTCATTTTTCTTTTTTTGCAATTATAATGCTACGCAGCTATTTTTAGAAACTTTGGTATTCGTGATTTTTGCTTTTATTTACAGACAAATCGGTGTCAAATTCGCTTGGCAACTATGCTTCTGGTTCTTTTTGGTATATTTATAGCATTTGGCACTTCAAGGATTGCGTGTTGAGGGTGTATTTTACGTGAATGCACATCCTGTTAGGTACTTGTATAATGGCACATACATATTTACGTATATATGTACATATGAATAGGAATTTTATGCACAATATTCTATGACAA